CTAGGGAAGCTCACAGAAGCCTCACTGTCCAGAACCTTCATTACCCCTGAGACGCGTACACCCAGTAGTCCTCCATGAGACTGACGTGACCTCAATCGCTAGCCCTTCCAGAGGTCAGCTGATACCCTGTGACCCCAGGGCCCCACCCTGAGTCGCACTGCTACTAGCTAGTTGGCCTAAGGCTGATAGGTAAACCAAAATAATCTTATCAGGAACAACATTCCAGAGATTTAGAGGAGGTGACCTCAAAGGCGCAGAGGACAAAGGTCTTACCTCTCTTTGGGGAAGGTTAAATTCTTCATTACACTGAACCAAACAATGCAGGCCAACTCCAGGAGCTGAAAAAAGACAAAGAAATGAATTCTTCTCTGAGTCCCCCGAGCAGGAACACAGCCCAGCCGACATTTTTGTTTTATTGATGTATTTATTTTTTACTTTTAATTAATTTTTTGAGACAATGTCTCACTCTGTCACCCAGGTTGGGTGCAGTGGCTTGATCTTGGCTCACTACAACCTCGGCTTCCAGGGCTCAGCCTCCCCAGTAACTGGGACCACAGGCACGCACCACCATACCTGGCTAATTTTTGTATTTTCTGTAGAGATGGGGGTCTCACCATATTGCTCAGGCTGGTCTCAAACTCCTGGGTTCAAGCCATACACCCACCTCGGCCCCCAGAGTGTTGAGATTAGAGGTGTGAATCACTGCACCCGGCTGGTTTTATTTTATTTTATTTTTTTATTTTTATTATTATTTTTTTTTGAGACGGAGTCTCGCTCTGTCACCCAGGCTGGAGTGCAGTGGCCGGATCTCAGCTCACTGCAAGCTCCGCCTCCCAGGTTCACGCCATTCTCCTGCCTCAGCCTCCCGAGTAGCTGGGACCACAGGCGCCTGCCACCTCGCCCGGCTAGTTTTTTGTATTTTTAGTAGAGACGGGGTTTCACCATGTTAGCCAGGATGGTCTCGATCTCCTGACCTCGTGATCCGCCCGTCTCAGCCTCCCAAAGTGCTGGGATTACAGGCGGTTTTATTTTTTTAATTTGTATTTTTGTGACAGGGTCTTGCTCTGTCACCCAAGATGGAGTGCAGTGGCGCGAGTATGGCTCCCCGCAACCTAGACATCCCCAGCTCCAGCGATCCTCCCTTCTCAGTCTCTGGAGTAGCTTGGGACTACAGGAGTGAACCACCATACCCCGCTAATTTTTTTTTTTTTTTTTTTTTTTCTTACGGAGTCTTGCTCTGTCTCCAGGCTGGAGTGCAGTGGCACGATCTTGGCTCACTGCAACCTCTGCCTCCTGGATTCAAGCAATTCTCCTGCCTCAGCCTCCCCAGTAGCTGAGAGTACAGACGCATGCTGCCACATCCAGCTAATTTTTGTAATTTTAGTAGAGACGGGGTTTCACCACGTTGGCCGGGATGGTCTCAATCTCTTGACCTCGTGATCCACCCGCCTCGGCCTCCCAAAGTGCTGAGATTACAGGTGTGAGCCACTGCGCTCAGCCCTATTTTTGGATTTTTTGGTAGAGACGGGATTTTGCCATGTTGCCCAGACTGGTCTCCAACTCCTGGACTCAAGAGCTCCTCCCACCTTGGCCTCCCAAAGTGCTGGGATTACAGATGTGAGCCACAACACCTGGCTACATCTTGGTTTTAGACTTCCTATCTTTAGAACTGTAAGAGAATACATTTGTGGTTGGGCATGGTGGCTCACACCTGTAATCCCAGCACTTTGGGAGGCCGAGGCGGGCAGATCACCCAAGGTCAAGAGTTAGAAATCAGCCTGGCCAACTCGGTGAAACTCCATCTCTACTAAAAATGCAAAAATTAGCTGGGCATGGTGGCGGGTGCCTATAATCCCAGCTATTAGGGAGGCTGAGGTAGGAGAATTGCTTGAACCTAGGAGATGGAGGTTGCAGTGAGCTAAGATCATGCCACTGCACTCCAGCCTGAGCGACAGAGCAAGACTGTCTCAAAAATAAATAAATAAATAATAAACAAATACATAGAATACATTTATGTTGTTTTAAGTCACTAGGTTTTTGGTCATTTGTTACAGTGGCAACAGAGAATACAGTTAGAAACCCAACAACGAATACAGTTGCAAGGACCTGAGAAGTCTACAGAGGAAAGTAAAAGGAAGAAGGGCGGGGAAGGGAGGGTGAAGAAAAAACAATAAAAGGAAAGAAAAGAAAGTAGATGGAATGATGGTTCTGATTAATAATTTTATTTTCTTTATTTGAGACAGCGTCTTGCTCTGTCGCCCAGGCTGGAGTGCAGTGGCACAATCTCAGCTCACTGCAACCTCCGCCTCCTGGGTTCAAGCAATTCCCCTCCTTCAGCCTCCCAAGCAGCTGAGATTACAGGTGCCTGCCACCATGCCTGGCTAATTTTTGCATTTTTAGTAGAGATGGGGTTTCACCATGTTGGCCAGGCTGGTCTTGAACTCCTGACCTTAGGTGATCTGCCCGCCTTGGAGGTTGCAGTGAGCTGAGATCATGCCACTGCATTGCAGCCTGGGCTACAGAGTGAGACTCCGTCTCAAAAAAAAAAAAAAAAAAAAAAAAAAAAGCAGGGTAACAGGGTTAATTATTGTCCCCTAAAACATATTTCTACATCTAAGCCCTGGAACCTGTAAATGAACTAATGAATTATATTTGGAAACAGAGTCTTTAAAAAAAAAAAAAAATACAGGCTCTCACTGTTGTCCAGGCCAGAGTGCGGTGGTGTGATCACAGCTCACAGCAGCCTTGACCTCCTATCCTAGACTCAAGGGATCCTCCTCCCTCAGCCTTCCAAGTAGCTGGGACTACAGGTGTGCACCACCACACCCAGCTAATCTTTCTTGTATTTTGTAGAGATGAGGGTCTTCCTATGTTGCTCAGGCTGGCCTTGAACTCCTGGCATCAAGCAATCCTCCTGCCTTGGCCTCCCAAATTGCTGAGATTACAGGTGTGACTCACCACACTTGGCTGGGAAACAGGATATTTAATGAAAGATCTCAAGATGAGATTACTCTTGATTACTTGGTTGGGTTCTAAATCCAGTGACAAGAGTCTTTCTAAGAGACAGAAGACACAGACACAGAGGAGAAAGCCCTGGGAAAAGTTGGAGGCAGAGATTGAAGCGATGTCACCACAAGCCCAGGATTGCCCACGACCACCAGAAGACAGGACTGGAAAGGAAGGATTCTCCTCTAGAGCCTCAGAGAGAGCCTGACCCCGTGGACACCTTGATGGTGCACTTCTGGCCTCTAGAACAAATTTGTCATGTTAAGCCACCCAGTTTGTAGAGATATGTAGGCAGCCCTGGGGCTCTAATACCAATGGAATGCCAAAATGGAATTCAGAAAACGCAAACAGCCGGCCGGGCGCAGAGGCTCACAGCTGTAATCCCAGCACTTTGGGAGGCTGAGGCGGGCGGATCACCTCAGGTTGGAAGTTTGAGACCAGCCTGGCCAACATGGCGAAACTCTGTCTCTGCTAAAAATACAATTAGTTGGGTGTGGTGACAGACACCTGTCACACCTGTCGTGCCAGTGACTCAGGATCCTGAGGCGGGAGCATCGCTTGTACTGGGGAGGCAGAGGTTGCAGTGAGCCAAGATAGCACCACTGCACTCCAGCCTGGGGGACAGAGTGAGACCCTGCCACAAAAAAAGAAAAGAAAAACAAAAAAACGAGAAAATACAGGGAACAGTTAACACCTATAGAATCTGGGCAGTGGATCACAGCAGGTACCCAAAGAGCATCTGGTACCAGTTGTTGGTCCTAGTGTCCAGGTAACCTTGGGCTGTGGAGGGGTTGACCACATCCTCGTGCTGGTGGCCATCTCTGCCCTCCCTCAGCCTCCATACCGTTCTCCAATGAAGATGTTCCTCAGGCTCCACGCATTTCCTGAGCGACACGGTCCACTCTTGCAGCTGTTTTTTTTTTTTCCCAAGACGGAGTCTTGCTGTGTCACCCAGGCTGGAGTGCAGTGGCACAATCTCTGCCTCCTGGGTTCTAGTGATTTTCCTGCCTTAGCCTCCCAAGTAGCTGGGATTATAGGCGCTCGCCACCGCACCCAGCTAATTTTTGCATTTTTAGTAGAGACGGGGGTTTCACCATGTTGGCCAGGATGGTCTCGATTTCCTGACCTCGTGATTAGCCCGCCTCAGCGTTCCAGAGTGCTGGGAATACAGGCATGAGCCACCGTGCCCAGCCAACAGCATGCCTTTTTAAAGCTGTTGCAGTTCTTCTGCCCATCCTGGTGCTGAGGGACTCTCTCCCCTGTATGTAAACCCCAAGAAAACCCTGTATATCGTTTGCTGGGTTTGGGTCTCAGCTTTTTTTTTTTTTTTTTTTTTTTTTTTTAAAGAGACGTGTCTCACTCTGTTGCCTGGCCTGCTGGAGCGCAGCTCACTGCAGCCTGGAACTACTGGGTTCAAGCGATCCTCCTGCCTCAGCCTCTCAAAGTGCTGGGATGAGAGGCATGAGCCACTGCACTCCAACTGTATCGATCACACATTCAGCCATCTATCCAACCATCCTTCATATTTGTTGATGCATTTCAAAATAAGTTCCAACATCAGAACAGACCCCTCCTCAGAGGATACCCCTGGCTATCACACGGGTAGGGTGCCCGCTAAAGCTCTTCCCGTCCCTAGAAGCCAGTCCAGCTGTCCTGTTTGCGTTAACGGTCTTTTCCTGTGAGCACTGCGAAGGCAGATCCAGGCTGCTGCAGATCACCCCTGGATCTCAAATGCTGAGTGGCCCGCACGAAGCTCAGGGACCTTAAGATGTTGACAGTAGGTGATCTACTGCCGTCCACTGAGGACAGCTGACGCTGTTTGGAGGTACGAATTGTCCCTCAGTGTCTTCAAGAATGTTACCCTGAGACCAACGCTGAGAGAATAGGTCCATGTTTCACACACCCCCCCACTCCCGCCCCGCCGCCATCTACCCTCGTTAATTCCCAGGGCAAGGGATGGCCTGGGGCAGCCTGGAGAGACCAGACCCACAAGCTTTTTAAAATAACTGCATCCTTTAATGGCAGTAATACAATTATTGGATTAAGAGACCACAGGAGAAAGGCAGGTGACGTTTCTGGAAGACAGGTATGGAGTATAAAAAGGGTGTGAAATAGTCATGCGGCAATCATTGTAAAAATACAGTTCATTATATACATATTTGCACCACCAACTCTCAACTCTGAAACAGTATTTACACTTTTGTTACAATCCTGGTTAGAGAACAATTTTTCTTTAAAAGCTCGGCCTGATGGCAAATGAGAATTTCAGGTGAATTCATAGTCCCATGAGGTTCTTAGGCTGAATATTCCAAGAGGAGGGCTCCAGCTTCTATTTCATCCACAGATTTCAGTTTAAAAAATATTTAATTTTCTTTTACAAAAGAAAATCCTCAAAAGGAGAGGAAAAACAACAACAAAAAAAACAAAACACTGCCATACTGTGTATTCATACTTATTTTACAAACACCAAGGGCTGCGCCCTCTGCTTCAAGGCCAACACTGGTGGCTGAAGACAAATCTCATTAATGATTGTTTAAAAAAAAAAAAAAAAAAAAAAAAAAGACAAAAAGACCAACCAACCTGATCCCAGCACTGACCCCTCAGGGCTGTGCAGCCCTGTAGGACACACTGCCTCCTGGCCCCAAACTATGAGTTCTTTTTGGGGTGGGGTGGGATAGCAGCCTTGTTCACCCCACCCTGAGGAGGAGGGAAGGGGAATCCCTTGGCAGGTACCCAGGTCTCCTCATGGTCAGCAATGAAGAGATTGGCCTGCAGCCACACAGCGGGCCAGGGAGACAGGCAGATGGAGCCACAAGCACACACTTCCTGAGGCCCCTCAAGTGGCCCAGAGGCAGGATAGCAGGCCTCCCCCAGCACCCCTTGTGCCCATCTCCCAGGCTGTGTCCATAGGTGGGCCTCCTCCAGGGCTCTGCAGAGGAGGCTGGCCCTCAGCCAGGGTGGGAGTGTGGGGGCAGCAGAGGCTTCCCCTCCCCTGCCCTGGCTGCAGGCTTCCCACTCTCCTTAGCCCCTTTCTGAAGTGTACACAAATCTCACAGAGCAACACACCTTGGAACCCCTGCATCTGCTGGGTTGGGAGAGGAAACCTGAACACATCAATACCTGACGCCCTGCAGGTCACAGTGTGAGGAGGTGCGAGGAAAACAGACGAAACACTTGGCCAGGAGCCACCCTAGGGCCCCTGCTGTTGGGGCCTGGCGGCGCAGCCACTTCACGGATCCTGGAGCTGTCCGGGGCCGAGCTGCAGTGCGGTCATAGCAGGTGCGTGGCTTGAGGACCCTGGTGTGGGCAAGGAGGGTGTGGCCCTGATGGGACAGGTAGGGTTAATACTGACAGAAAACTGGTGCGTGCTCCAAGGGGCTGCCTCCTGGAGGTGGCTCTTCGGGACTCCGCCCCACACCAGCCCCCACTGCCTTTGGGTCCTGTTCTCACACTGCAGGCTTCTGCTGCAGGCTGGGGGGCATTGGCTTGCTCTGGACGGAGGGTGGCGGGGAGGGCACACGTAGTAATGCAGGGACAGGAGCAGGCACGTGCCAGGGAGCCCCGAGTGCCACTGAGGGCTCTTTCCTTAATACCTTTTCACTGTCACCATCTCCTGAGTGGGTTGTCACGCCCTGCACTGAAAAGACAGTGATGGTGCACCCTAGGATTCTAGAAACACCTGAACCTGCTTCCACACAGGCCCTGCCATGGTCTTGGTTCTGGGTCTCTTTGGGCACAGGGTGAGGAGCGTTCAGTGCCTTCCAAGACACCAACTGTTCCCTTTGTCCTGGGGAAAAGGGGCCATGCTTTGCCCGAAAAACCCACTGGGCCTCCAGCGAGGCCCGGCCAGGCAGAGTCCATGGGGTCTGAGTCTGGACACTGGCGACAGTTCACAGGTTTGCGGGCACGAGTCAGTTTGCTCAGCAGGAGCTCCTGAGCCCGCCACACTGACTAGAACTTAAGATGGTTATATACAATTTATAAATCTCAAAGAAAGTACTACTTTAAAAAAAAAAAAAAAAGAAGAAAAGCAAAAGAAAAGAAAAAGGAGAAAAGAAAAAAGGAACACCCAGCCTGCCTCCCCTCCCCCACAAGCTCCCCACCCCGGGTGCTGCCCTGAATACCACCCCAGGAAGGGCAGCTGGAGCCGCAGCTCTGGCTGGACACTACTGGCAAAAGGGGGAGGCCGTGGGGTCAAAGCCTTTAAAAACATCCTTTAGGGACGCCGCATCCTGCTCGCCCTCACGGGCCGGACTGTTCCCAGCAAATGGACTTCCTGAGCCCGTCTTGGGTGCCTGCTTCACCGTCCCGAAGAGGGTGGGAACGGGCAGGTTGTGCACCCCGGGCTGGGGTGGGGCACCCTCAGGGGGTGGGGTGGCGGTGGTGGCGGTGGGGGCTGTAGCGGCCTTGGGCCGGGGCCGGTTGTAGCTGTTGTATCTGTCCGTGGGGGCGCCCCCATCGGCACCGGCCTTCCCTGTCTCTGGCTGTTCCAGGGCAGACTTGCGGACGAACGGGGGCTCCTTCGCCTTGGAGGCCGAGCTCTTGCCATTACCCTCAGCGCCCTTGGGCTGGGCACCTGTATCAGCAGTCGGCTCTGTGGCTTTGCCCCCCGCGTTGGGAGTCCTCGGGTCGTAGAGGCTGATGCCGCTCAGCACGCTGCTCTGCCCGCTCCCTCCACCCTGGCCCAGCCCACCGGCTGCCAGCACGCGAGGGTCATAGGGAGCGGTGGCTGGTGGGGAGGCATCCCCACTCGGGCTGGCAGTGGGAGAAGGCGCCTCAGCGGGGCTGGGCTTGGTAGCCCGGGAGGAGGCCGTAGAGTCTGTGGGTTTCTGCAGCCGAGGGTCGGTGGGGGCCTTCCGCACCCGGGGGTCACTGGGTTTGTCAGTGGAACCAGGAGTAGCTGAGGAGCCGGTGGCATTGACCGTCTTGAGGATGCGAGAGAGAAGTTCAAAGTCGGGGAGGTTGGCGCCCTGTGTGCTGGAGTCCGTGGAGGCACCTGGGCGCTGCCGGGCGTTGGGGGGCCCTGCCGTTGCGGCGCGGTGCAGGCGGGGGTCCAGGGTGGGCATGGACTGCAGGGCAGCGGGCACGGGGGGCACTGCGTCCTGCTTGGGGACGGGTAGGGGGATCAGGTCCTCGGGATTCCAGAGCACGGTGCGGGCGAAGCTGGGCTTGCTCAGGGTCACGTCCTTCTTGATGTGGCTGAACTGCTGCAGTTGTGACCGCGGGTCCCGCAGGGGGTGCCCGGGGAGTGGGTCCAGGGGAATGTTCACGGCCTTCTCCCGCAGGGCCCGCTCCCCTTCCTCTTCCTCCGCAGGGGGCAGCCCAGACCCCTTGGAACTGCTGGGGCCCACAGGGCTGGAATGAAGGCTGCCTTCAGGCTTGGAGGTGGGCAGGGTGCGAGCCAGCCGAGGATCGGAGGGTCCGGAATCCCCTGGGCCAGACCCGCCAGAAGCCTCTGCATGGCGGGTGAGTCTGGGGTCCCGGCTGAGGCGAGGGTCTGCCAGCCGGCTTCCTGTGGGGTGTCCCTTCTGGAGGCGAGGGTCTCCCAGCACACTGCTGCTCAGCTCTCCAACTGAAGCCGGGGGTCGGCTGGACGTCTGCTGCCTCAAGGTCTTCAGGATGGAGGTTACACTGCTTCCACCCTCATCCTCATCACTTGAGTACCAGTTTCCAGTGTCACCTGGGAAAGAACAGAGGAGCAGGGAAGGGTAAGTGGGCGCATCCACCACCCGTCCTCTTGGACCCCACAGCAGCCCACCGTGAGCAGCTCCTTTGCTCGTGCCTCTCAGATCCTCAGGTCCTCCTCTCTAAGGCTCCCTCCCCACAGCAGGCAGCTGAGGAGACCCAGGGAGCTAAGGCGCTACCGTTTATGCCATGCTCCCCAGCGCTCCTCAGTGGCAGCACTGCACTAAGTAGTTTGTTTTATTTTAAGTAACTCACAACCACCCCAGGAGGTAGTGATACTATCATGCCCATTTGACAGATGTGAAAACAGAGGCACGGTGCCGTTACTTCGGAGTCAGGGCCAGGACTGGGCTGGGACTCCCAACCCAGAGCTCTGGCGTCTCCTCCCGCCCACCTCTGGGCTGGTTCAGCCCCCACTGTGGCAAGTGCAGCTGTGGGCACCTCCCTCTGGAGGTCCTCGTAGCAGATACCATTGACTCAGTTCTGGCTGGGCCTAGGGCTCACAGACACTTGCCCCCAAACCGGCTCACGATGTCCCCATGTCCCAGGGAAGGGCGGCTGGACCAACCAGTCACTGGCTAAGAGGCAGGGCCAGCTGGGCAGACTCAGACATGGGCTCAAGCAAAACCTAGGCCAGTACAGCCTGGGCCATCAGGGGAGCCGCCCCTCTTCCTGCTGTCCCACTGGCTCCTGGTATACTGTCAGGGCCACCTGTGGCCTCTAGTTTCAGGATCTAGAAACCACTTGTCATTTTACCCCAAGGCGGACACCACTAAGTCAACCACACAGCAACTGAGACTTGGTGGCTCATGACTATCATTATTACTGGTTAATTTCAATGACTCTCTTGTCTGTTGGCTCCTTGAGAACATGGTAGGAAAACGGGGGCTTTGAGAGTCTCCCTAAAGCCTCCTCTGGCAGGGCGCAGGCAGTTGATCCTGTTGGCGGCTTTCTCTTCCAGAAACCAGCCCTCCACCCTACTCTATAGGATCAGGGTCTCTCCTGAACCCAACACAGAAAGCCATCCCTGACTGCCAGTTTTCTCAGGGATATACAGCAGCCCCAACCCGGCTTCATGGCCCTGGACAGGGGTCCTCCCTAGCCATGGGCTCCTTCCCGACAGGAAACCCAACCTGGAACACCCCACCACCTCTGCTCCCCTGCACAGCGGCCCAGGGCCTGTGCCCCGGCCCCTGGGGCGGACACGTGCCTTCCTCATTCTCCCGGTCCTGCTTGCTGCTCTCAGCCAGCCTCCTCGCTCTCTCCTCCTCCTCCTGCTGCTTCTGCTGGATCCTCAGGTACAGGGCCCTCTGGGCTGAGGGCAGGAAGTCAGGGACACCGGCGCCTGGCTTCGGCCGGCCTGGGGGCCCTCCCTCAGAGAAGCTGTCGGGCTCCAGAGGGTGCTCAGGGAAGAGGTGCTCCCCAGGCTCCCCTGGCAGCTCTTCGTAGTGCCCGTAGTCCTCTGTGGCAGGGAAGAACCGAGGGTTCATGTCGGGAAGGGCCTCCAGGTGCCAACTCCAGCCCCACCCTGCCCCTCACTGCAAACCCACCCCGATGGTGATGGAGAAGGATGCACAGCCTGCCCTTGCCTGCCCTCCCCAGGTCTCAGGGGAACGGAGCCGCCCATGGGGAGCCCCGCCTATGTGAAGAATGAGGTTCAGAGAGGGTTGAGTGATGGGGGCAAATGCTTATGAGGTGGAAACAGGACAGAACATCGGATGTACATTTGTAAGACGCAAGGAGAAGGCTTTGAAAAGACAGAAACAGTCCCTCTGGGACGGAGATTCTAGAGAGGCCAGGGATGGATCCTGCACTCTTTCCTGTACTTGTTTAATTATTTTGGATGGACAGGAGTTTCATGGTTTCTTTCTAACAATTAATAAGGAAACACTGTACATCTCATAGTGAACTCAACCATGTTCAACACTAAAAGCCAGGAAGAGAGAATGAAATGAGCCAAAGTGCTGCTCTGGCCAACAGAGGCTCCAGAGTGCCTCCCCTCCTGCTCCACAGCATTAGGGGGTCTCTCAGGAAGCACCGGGCCTCCACCTCCTGCAGTGTGGGCACTGGCACCAACCACCTCACCCCATGCACTCCCCCAGTGCCTGAGCCAAGAGCTGTGGGCAGCGGCACAGGCTGACGTGGGGACGCAGCAGGCACAGAGGGGAGGGCAGGCTCGGCGACACCTCCTGCATGTTGTGTGTGTGCGTGACATGTGAGCATGGGAGACAGCGAGTCACCGAGACGGGGGGATGTCTAGAGTCAGGGCTTCCCCACAGAACGTTATGCGGTGATGGAAATGTTCTACATCTGCAGGGCAACATGTGGCCACCTAAACCTTCCTGGGGCAGCTGAGCATTTAAAACGTGGTGTCTAAAAAAGTACACTTGTAACTTAGCTTACATTAATTTCAACTTCGTCAAGTGAACCTGATGGGCCAGCCTGCTCTGTGACACATCCCAGCGCAGAGCTGGGACCCACTCGACGAACCAGACAGCCAAGGGTCCCCCTTCACACAGTCTGTGCACACACCAGAAACCACAGACCATACATGTTAGAGGGAGGATTTTATGAAACAGGATTACCCTAGAGACACCTACTGCTACCAATGTGACCGACTTCTGGTTCCCCGCCAGCAGAGCTTCTCCCATGGACCTTTCAGATGCTTTTGTTAAAGGGGGTGGAGCTGAGAGAACCCCAGCACCTCACTGTGGCAGCCTGTTTTTCTCATCTTTCTAAAGCACCCACTCTCACCCGAGTACCTGGCTCTCCTGGCTCCATGCACCACCTAAAGTCAAAGCCCATGTCTACATTTTGATCTCTAGCCTGGGCCTCTCCCTGATGCCCCTGAAACTACCCCTCAAAATTTCCACATGGCCATCAGAGGTGCAGGCACCCTGGAGTGACTATGCCCCACGTCCAGCACTCTATCCTCAATGCCGCTCCTGCCTGCCTTGCAAAACACACACGGGACTCACACTGCCCTACGGTGCCGCATCCAAACCTCGAAGCCCTGCCTTGCACTCCAGTGGCTGCCCTGCTGCCTCTGCCCAGGGACAGCCCCGAGCAGCTGCCACAGCAGCATCCCCAGCTCAACACAGCGCCGCCCCCGCCCAGAGGTCCCATCGTTCCTCACATTGCAAGTGCTGCTTCACTTCTCAGAGAGACTTTTGTGACCATCCCCATTGAGGCACTGAGCCTTCTGGCCCACCACCACGGTACCCCACCTTTTCTTCTAACAATGGCCAGTGCTGAAAGGAGCCAACTCCTCTATCTACACGCTTGCCACCTGCTTCGTTCCACCAAGATGTAACTGGGCAAGGACAGTGGGGGCCTACTGTGCCTGGCCCTCCTCCTCCAGAGGGCTGCACATCGCATCTCCTACAGCTGCAGCAGCGTCATCTAAACCCCTCTGCTCACTGGACACATGTTACCAATGCAAAAGGAAAAAAAGGCAGGAAAACAGCCGGTAAAGGGCACAGAACCCGCAGAGTCCTGGGGTAGACACTGGTTGCTCCAAGCCGAGAATTGCCTGGAAAGAGATAGTTTTGGCCAGGCCACTAACTGAGCCCTGATGGGCCCATCAGCCTCCTCAGCCTCACACCCTTGCACACTCGTCCCTCTAACTTCCCATGCTTCCGATTCCAGGCACAGCTTGCAAAATTAAAAAGAAATAACATATAATGGTAATAAACAGAACATTCCTTTCTTCCTCCACAGAATAATAAATCCTATGTTACTGAAAACATTCAACCATTAAATGGGACAGAGATGGAGTCATGCTTTCGAAGAGACTCGGACGAAGGAAGAAAAACCACATCTCCCTGACTACTCCACTGTGTGAAGCCCGCAACCCCAGGCAGTCACACCTGGAGCCCCGCATACCTGCATCCCCCAGGAGTCCGGGCTCCATCTCCATGCCCTCCTGCTGCTGGTAGAAGTTTTCATAGAAGTTCTGGGCTGGCGGGATAGGGGGCATCATTCCAGAATGTGGGGAGTCTCCAGGGCCGTAGGGCATCATTGGAGGGCCACCAGGGCCCATGGGTGGGCCAGGATTCATGCCAGGGCCCATCTGCATGTCGGGGTGCATGTCCGGGTGCATGTCGGGGTGCATGTCTGGGTGCATGTCAGGGTGCATGTCAGGATGCATTGGACCGCCCATTGGCCCTGGGGGTCCCATGTTGGGCCCAGGGCCCATTGGCCCTGGGGGTCCACCGGGTCCAGGGAACCTAGAAGGAAAAGGCACCTGTGAGGGAAGCTGCAGACCAGGACTCCCACAGCTGGGGAGAGAGGCAGGACCCTGCCCCAGCCAGGCTTACCCTGACAAGAGGAACCTGGCTGGGCCCAGGATAGCGTCCCCTGCCTACCACGGGGGCCCAGGGCACTCACCTCACACCCAGCTTCTCAGCCAGCTGTCCCGTGGGCCGTACCACAATCTCAAACAAGGAGGGGATCTTCTTGTTGTACATGTCCTGCTGCTGCAGCTGCTGCGGGGACAGCGGCTCATGCACTGGCATGGGCATCTGAGGGGGCCCGGGCGGCGGGGGAGGGGGCGGGGGTGGGGGTGGGGGGCCACCCTGCATGGGCCTGCCATTGGGAGAGGTTGGAGCTTGCGGGCCAGGGGGCCGAGGAGGGGTGGGGAGGAGGCCCACACCAGGGGGCGGTTTAGGCAGGGGGTTGATGCCCTGCTTCTTCAGTTCCTCCACCTCCTTCTCGTCCTCGGCACCTGCTTCTGCATCATCAGCCAACATCTGAGGGTGAGAAAGAACAAAAGAAGGTGTGGACAGGGTCAGGATGGAAACGGACCTCTCCAGGTCTCAGAGCTGAAGTTTATGAGAAGTTCCACAATACAAGGACCTTGAGGTCTAAAGACATAAAGCTAATGACCACAATGGCTCTGTAACAAAAATCATCAGCCACCTCTCTGCTCCACTCTCCGGGACCAGCTGGTGGGGGGCAGGGGGGCGCCTGTTCTTGCTCTATGGCAAAATACAAGAGAAAGTGTACTGTTCAACCATTAAAAGTGAACGATTCGGCCGGGCGCAGGGGCTCACATCTGTCATCCCAGCACTCTGGGAGGACGAGGTGGGTGGATCACTTGAGGCCAGGAGTTCAAGACCAGTCTGGCCAACATGGAAAAACCCCGTCTCTACTAAAAATACAAAAATTAGCTAGGTGTGGTAGCGCATGCCTGTAGTCTCAGCCACTCGGGAGACTGAAGCAGGAGAATCACTCGAACCTGGGAGGCAGAGGCTGCAATGAGCCAAGACTGCATAACTGCACTCCAGCATGGACAACAGATGAGACTCTGTCTCAAAAATAAATACACAAGGCCAGGTGTGGTGGCTCATGCCTGTAATCCCAGCACTTTGGGAGGCCACGGTGGGCAGATCACCTAAGGTTAGGAGTTCAAGGTCAGCCTGGCCAACATGGTGAAACCCCGTGTCTACTAAAAATACAAAAAAATTAGCTGGACATGGTGGTACTAAAAATACAAAAAAATTAGCCGGACATGGTGGTGGCCACCTGTAATTCCAGCTACTTGGGAGGCTGAGGCAGAAGAATCGCTTGAACCCGGGAGGCAGAGGTTCCAGTGAGCCGAGATACCACCACTGCATTCCAGCCTGAGCGGGAGAGCCAGACTCCATCTCAAAATACAAAAATAAAAACAAAGTGAATGATTCAGTGGCATTTGGCACATTAACAATGTTATGCAACCACCACCTCTATCTAGTTCTAGGACATTTTCATCACCTCCAAAAGAGACCCTGTACACACTAAGCAATCACTCCCCATCCTCTGCCCCCAGCCCCCGGCAGCCACTCTGCTTCCTGTCTCTGCAGACCTGCCCCTGCTGGACAGCTCCTGCGAACAGACTCATGCGCTGAGTGTGAGGGGTCCTTTCACTTAGCAAAGTGCATCTACGCTGCTACATCTATCAGTATGTCACTCTGTTTTTTGTGGCTGAATCATATTCCACTGTCCTGTTTGGATGTTAAGGGCCTCTGATCTCACCTGTAATAAGACCCAAACTCCTGAAAATAACCCTCAGGGCCTAAGAGCAGGGGTGGGTGTATGGCTATCTGGGGAGGACTGGGAAGCTTCCTGGCAGCTTCATTTCCTCCCACGATCCCAACTCCTCCAGCCCAACCACCCAGCCTCATTTCAGTGCAATGAGCAGTCAAGCTCTCCCCTACAGGGCCAGGACCAAGCTGCCCCCAGGCTTTTATTTTTCCCCGTTATTCCCATGTGGCTCAACGTCACCCAACTGTTGAGGTCCCTCATTAGATGTCAATTCATAGTGTCTGTCCAGTCTCCTATACTCACGACTGGGGTACCAGGAGTTCTCTGCCAACACTGCCTATGCCTTGTTAGATTATTCAGTCATTCCCGTGTTGATCCTGGCTCACCTTCCTGTCAACTCCATGAGGGCAGGACTGTTTCTTCCCTGCTTTATCCCCAGGGCCCCCACAAGACCTGATACAGGGCAGATGCCCAATGAGTGAATGAGAAATGTCAAAATCTCAATTGGACTAGAATGTTTCATCAGTTAGAATCGCATGCAGAAAAGTGAACACAGGAGGCCTGGCTGCTCTCCCTGGAAGGCCTGCTTGCAAGGCTAGGCCTTGGCTGGTGTCTGGCAAGCTGGATTTGGGAGGGCTTCCAGCATTCACTGTCTAGTAAGAGGGGCTCACTGCATCTAAACTGTTTCTACAACCAATGCAGTTTGTGCTGAATGCCTGCTTTGCCCCCCAGATCTGGAATTTTGGTCCATGCCAGGCAGAAGCTGCCTAGGTGAACGGCCCTAGTGAAAACCCTGGGCGTTGAGCAAGTCTTCTCACAGACAGAATGCCACTCATGCTGTCACAACTGGAGGAGGGCAGCATGGCCCCTGCGAGTCCACGGGGGGAGGATGTGCCTGCTTCCTCCGGGTGCCCTCATGTACTCGTTCCCGGGGCTGAGTTTGCCTGTGTCCCTTCACTGCAGTAATATCTTGGCTGTGAGTCCCCCAGCAAGTTGCTCTGGGTCATCTTGGGGACCCCAGCACAGATCCCTTAGTGGGTCCAAACACGGGGTCAGGATGAACTAGTCCTGCCCCTCTGCCCAGGAACAGCAGGGATGACAGAAATAGGACCCCCTGGTGGGGGTTGTGCATTCGCAGTTTTCCCTTCTCCTAGCCATTAGCAGTGGTACCTGAACCCTGGAACCCCAAGGTCCAACAAGAATGTGGCTTCATGGAGGAGGGGTGGAAAACGACACGGTGGAACCCCTCTGTCCTTCTGAGCCCTGCCACTCCAGGTGTGGTCAGCTTGTGAACCAGCAGAGCAGGGGTACCTGTGGAGGCAGAATTCACATTCTGCCCTCAGAGTGTGGGCAACGCCACCTGAGATGAGCCTTGCTGGGAGGGCCCAGAGCCTTGCGTCAGCTCCCAGTACTGCTGCTTTCAGCACTGCTATGGGCTCACTTCCTCCTGGCCCAAGGGCCCTTCCTCAATTGTGTGTGCGGCCATGGGTTGCGCTGCATCTGCCACCCTGCATTTCCCTCCTCCTCTTCAGTCCTAACTGCCGCACATCCTGGGGCCACCACTGGCACCTCCTCACAGAGCCTCCTGAACGTCTGCCTCGTGAATAGAGCCCAGCTGGAGTCCTGGGCTCCCACACTTGTTCTTCACGGCCTGATCCCTGTGTGTGCGCGCACACACACACACACACATACACACACACTCTCACACTCCCCATGTGTCATCAGCATCTGCCCAAGGACCTAACCCTGCCTCCTCACCACCCCCAGTGCCTGCCACAAACAAGGCACAGAGATTTATCGAGTGAACGACTAAGCAAGGAACACAAACCAATGCACTCTGCCATTCATTCCCTGGAATCCAGAGGCTGGGTCCAGCGCAGAGAAGAAAGGAGCTCAGGCCCTGCCTGACTGGTTGACTCCAACATGGAGTCAACTGCAGAGTCAACCCAAACTGCCCATCGGTCCTGCCAGCACAGGCCCTGTGGCCCCTCTGTTCCTGGCCCCTCCACCAGCAAATACACCAGCTGAGACAACTAGCACCCCAGTAGGTGCCAAAGCTTCTCTAGCCAGGACAGACTCTCAATGATCAGAGGAGTTTCCAAAAGTCAGTCACCTTCTGCAAGCAAGAAGTAACACTTGTAGAGGTGCAGAGGCATGTGGGCTGAGCCCATCAGGCCATGTGAATAAGCACCAGGAAATGGAAACAACGCAAATGTCTTTCAACGGATGACTGGATAAACAAACGTAGACCATCCACTTGGTGGGGCACTACGCAGCAACAAATCGTAATGAACTGCTACTTGCAACAACGGGTGAATCTCAAAGGCTTCATGCCAAGTGCAAGAAGCCAGACTCAACAAATGCACGCGTGTGCACTGTGTACACTCACACTCTTAAAGCTTGTTTACCCCACAATTATATTTATATGATTTGCTTGAAAGAGCAAAACCAGGCCGGGCGCGGTGGCTCAAACCTGTAATCCCAGCACTTTGGGAGGCCGAGACGGGCGGATCACGAGGTCAGGAGATCGAGACCATCCTGGCTAACACGGTGAAACCCCGTCTCTACTAAAAAGTACAAAAAACTAGCCGGGCGAGGTGGTGGGCACCTGTAGTCCCAGCTACTCCGGAGGCTGAGGCAGGAGAATGGCTTAAACCCGGGAGGCGGAGCTTGCAGTGAGCTGAGATCCGGCCACTGCACTCCAGCCTGGGCGACAGAGCCAGACTCCGTCTCAAAAAAAAAAAAAAAAAAAAGCAAAACCAAAAGACAGACCCTGACCCACGGTTGCCAGGCACTGGAGATGTGGGGTGGCATTTACTATAAAAGACACAGCGGAGTTTCTGGGGTGACAGAATGGGTTTCCTAGATCCATCTTGTGGGGTGGTGACATGACTCTGTGTGTCAAAACTCATAAAACTAGGCCGGGCGCGGTGGCTTACGCCTGTAATCCCAGCACTCTGGGAGACAGAGATAGGTGGATTACGAGGTAAGGAGTTCAAGACCAGCCTGACCAAGATGGTGAAACCCTGTCTCTACTAAAAATACAAAAAAAAAAAAAAAAAAAAAATCAGCTGGCCGGGCGCAGTGGCTCAAGCCTGTAATCCCAGCACTTTGGGAGGCCAAGCTGAGCGGATCACGAGGTCAGGAGTTCAAGACCAATCTGACCAACATGGTGAAAAACCCCATCTCTACTAAAAATACAAAAATGAGCCGGGAGTGGTGGTGCACGCCTGTAATCCCAGTTACTCAGGAGGCGAAGGAGAATCGCTTGAACCTGGGAGGCGGAGTTTGCAGTGAGCCAAGGTCACGCCACTGCACTCCGGCTTGGGTAACAGAGTGAGACTCCATCTCAAAAAACAAACAATTAAATAAATAAATAAATACATACATACATAAATAAATAGCTGGGCATGGTGGCGGGCCTCTGTAATCCCAGCTATTCAAGAGGCAGAGAATTGCTTGAACTTGGGAGGCGGAGGCTGGAGTGAGCCAACATTGCATCACGGCACTCCAGCCTGGACGACAGAGCGAGATTCCGTCTTGGAAAAAAAAAAACTCACAGAACTATGTATCAGGCGCAGTGGTTCACGCCTGTAATCCCAGCACTTTGGGAGGCCTAGGTGGGTGGATCACCTGAGGTCAGGAGTTTGAGACCATATGGCTAACACGGTGAAACCCCGTCTCTACTAAAAATACCAAAATTAGCTGGGAGTGGAGGCAGGCACCTGTAATCTCAGCTACTCAGGAGGTTGAGACAGGAGAATCACTTGAACCCAGGAGGCGGAGGTTGCAGTGAGCTGAGATCACACCATCGCACTCCAGCCTGGGCAACAAGAGTGAAACTCCATCTCAAAAAAAAAAAAAAAAAAAAAAAATTGGTACCAAAGATGACATACAAAAACATATAATGCTAAGAGCTGGTTAAAGCACTCAGATAAATTTAGAAAGTATGGATTTTCAGCTAGGCATGGTGGTTCACACCTGTAATCCCAGTACTGTGGGAGGCCAAGGCGGGCGGATCACCTGAGGTCGGGGGTTCAAGACCAGCCTGACAAACATGGAGAAATCCCATCCCTACTAAAAACACAAAAAATGAGCCAGGAGCAGTGGCACATGCCTGTAATCCCAGCTACTCGGGAGGCTGAGGCAGGAGAATAGCTTGAACCTGGGAGGCAGAGGTTGTGGTGAGCCAAGATCGCGCCACCCCTCCAGCCCGGGCGACAAGAACAAAACTCCATCTCAAAAAAAAAAAAAAAAAAAAAGAAGGCATGGATTTTCAGAAAGGGGTCTGTGTGCCTACTCCCAAGCAGAAACCTACAACCCTCTAAGCTTTGCAAACATCAAGTTTTGCTCTCAGAAAACGTGGCTCTCTACAGAATTTACTTTTAACAGATTCAAGTACCATTATATTTTCTCTCTGCTGGCTTCATAGGTGCCTTCCATGAAACCAAGGGAGATCAAATATAATCCCAATGCCATTTAAAAAATATTTTTTCCAGCCATTGAAACTACACACAAAAAGCTCCCATGAAGTATCTCTATTTTTTCCATTATTTATTATTATTTCCTAAAAGTATGTTTGGAGCTAAATGAGACACAGTGTTAAATAATTTCGCGAGGTGGGTGGATTATTTGAGGTAAGGAGTTTGAAACCATCCTGGCCAACATGGTGAAACCCCATCTCTACTAAAAATACAAAAATTAGCCAGGTGTCGTGGTGCACATCTGTAATCCCAGCACTTTGGGAGGCCAAGGCAGGTGGATCACTTGTCAAGGCAGATGGATCAGGAGTTCAAGACCAGCCTGGCCAACATGGTGAAACCCTGTCTCTACTAAAAATACAAAATTCAGCTGGGCGTGGTGGCAGGCGCCTGTAATCCCAGCTACTCAGGAGGCTAAGACAAGAAATCACTTGAACCTGGGAGGCAGAGGTTGCAGTGAGCCGAGATGGTGCCACTGCACTTCAGCCTGGGCAAAAGAGTGAAACTCCGTCTCAAAAATAAACAAACAAAAATTAGCCAGGCGTGGTGGCGGGTGCCTGTAATCCCAGCTACTGTGGAAGCTGAGGCAGGAGAATCGCTTGAACCCGGGAGGCGGAGGTTGCGGTGAGCCAAGATCGCGCCACTGCAATCTACCCTGGGCAACAGAGCGAGATGCCATTTCATTTCTTTTTTTTTTTTTCTGAGACAGAGTCTCGCTCTTGTTGCCCAGGCTGGAGTGCAATGGCGCTATCTTGGCTCACCGCAACCTCCGCCTCCCAGGTTCAAGTGATTATCTTGCCTCAGCCTCTCTAGTAGCTGGGATTACAGGCATGCACCACTTTGCCCGGCTAATTTTCTATTTTTAGTAGAGACAAGGTTTCTCCATGTTGGTCAGGCTGGTCTTGAATTCCCAACCTCAGGTGATCCAGCCGTCTCGGCCTCCCGGCGGGGGCAGGGTTACAGGAGTGAGCCACAGCGCCTGGCCGAGACTCCAGTTCAAAAAAAAAAAAAAATTAATTTCACCTGTTTCTTTTTACTTTTAATTTTACTTTTAATTTACTGGAAAATTTTAAATGAACGAAGTGGTTCTGTGGTGCTCCTATGGGTAGCACTGGCCTAGAGCACAAACTTGGAGCCTCCAGCAGGGGGCAGTCCTCAGTCAGAGATGGGTAAGTCCTCCCAAGGAGACATGAGGCCTCCCTGAATGGCCACTGCTTCCCGTCATCAAACAGCTCAGACTCCAGGAATGTACAGATTACAAAACCCTGGGGCAGACTGGGCGCCGTGGCCCACACTTGCAATGCCATCGCTTTGGGAAGCCAAGGTGGGCATATCACAAGGTCAGTAGTTCGAGACCAGCCTGGCCAACATGGTGAAACGCTGTCTCTACTGAAAATAGCTCGGAGCAGTGGCGCGCGCCTGTAGTCCCAGCTACTCGGGAGGCTGAGGCAGGAGAATCGCTTGAACCTGGGAGGCGGAGGTTGCAGGGAGCCGAGATTGTGCCATTGCACTCCAGCCCAGGTGACAGAGCGAGATTTCGTATCAAAAAAACAAACAAAACAGCAGGGCGTGGTGGCTCACACCTGTAATCCCAGCACTTTGGAGGCTGACATGGGTGCATCACGAGGTCATCCTAGCTAACAGGGTGAAACACCGTCTCTACTAAAAATTTTTAAAAAAATTGGCCGGCATGGTGGCAGGCGCCTGTAGTCCCAGCTACTCGGGAGGCGGAGCTTGCAGTGAGCTGAGATCGCGCCACTGCACTCCAGCCTGGGCGACAAGAGACTCCGTCTCAAAACAAAACAAAAAAACCCTAGGGCAGCAGGCTCCCAAGAGGGACTGACCTTTTCCTACAGGTGCCCTGCCAATGAGGAATGGATGTTCTCCTACGTCTGCTTGCATGGGGCTTCCCCTGCACCCCTCACAGGGGTACCCCTGCCACCAGTTAACAAGACAGTCACTGACACATGGACTCTGGAAGCTGGCAGATGTGCTGATGCCTTGATCCTTTCCATTCTCAAAAAAATACCTAATCTCCTAGAACCTCCTGTGAACTATAAGGCAGGAAAGCTTCACTTGAAAGGATACCTGTTCCCGTAGCCACTCACTCCCCAGATGAATCAGGAAACTCAGGACTGATATTGGGGCATTTAACCGTAACCCAAAGTCCTCAGTCTAGCTCCTCAGACAGGACAACTGATGCCAGGATGAGTTTCAAATGTCACCTGGCTAAGTGGAGAAGCCATGACACCTCCCCCAAAGGAGCCTTCCCCTTTAGAGACCCCCAAATTCCCTCTACTTTCTCTAATGCATAATGGGGACCCTGAGAGTTGCAAGAAAACGTTTAACTTTTTCACCAAAACACAATCTTTGTCTCTTCTTTGTATATCTTTGGTTTTTTGTGGGTTTTCTTTGAGGTGGAGTCTTGCTCTGGAGTGCAGTGGCTCACTGCAGCCTCAATCTCCTGGATTCAACAGATCTTCCTGCCTCAGCCTCTTGAGTAGCTGGGACCACAGGCATGTGCCACAACACCTGGCTAATTTTTTTTATTTTTATTTTGGAGACACAGTCTCACTCTGTTGCACAGGCTAGATGGAATGCAGGGGTGTGATCTCAGCTCACTGCAACCTCTGCCTCCTGAGTACCTGGGACTATAAGCATGTGCCACTACACCTGGCTAATTTCTATATTTTTACTAGTGATGGGGTTTTGCCATGTTGGCCAGGTTGGTCTTGAGAACCTGGCCTCAGGTGATCTGCCCACCTCAGCCTCCCAAAGTGCTGGGATAACAAGCGTGAGCCACCACACCCAGTTAAGTTTTTCATCTTTTTTTTTTTTTTTTTTTTTTTTAGAGATGGGGTTTTGCCATGTTGCCCTTAGCTCAAGTGATCTGCCTGCCTTGGCTTCCCAAAGTGCTGGGATTATAGGCATGAGCCACTGCACCCAGCCCAACCAATTTTTTTTTTCTTTTTTTAAGTAAAAACAACGTCTCACTACATGCCTAGGCTGGTCTCAAACTCCTGAGCTCAAGTAATCCTCCCACCTCAGCCTCCCAAAGTGCTGGGGTTACAGGTAATTCGTGTATCCCTGTGTATCGTGGGCTGTCTCTAATTGACACCTAGAGATTAGGATTCATGCTTGGAGGCACATCAGGCAGTATTCCCTTCATTTGGCCATGCCCCCAGGAAACAGCAAAAGCCTGTCCTGGCTTAAGACAAGATACCTGTGACCACCTCAACTCCCTGCAGAAGAGGACACAGTGCCCATGTCCTCCTTAGAATGGCCCAACTCCAGACCAACCCAACTGGGCACTGCAGAGGCTGGACAGGCAGGCTATAGCACTGAGACAATGGACTGCACATGTCCCAGTTCCTGTGAGCCGTGCACCCCGTTAGCCCCTGGACATTACCTTATCCAAGAGCTCCCTCGTCTCTTCCGTCAGAGGGTCGTGGGAAAACATGCAGTCGTCACCATTGATGCAGTTCCCAGTGGTGTGGTACAGCTTACACGGGAAATCACGTTCATGGCAAATTAAGGTAAATGCTTCATCTCACAGAACACACCCCCAGCCAGACCCAAGGCAGAATCCAACTCCCTTTGCTTTGGAGATAAGGAATCTGAGCCCAGAGAGGAGAGGCGACGTGCTCAGGGCTGCTCAGTGGGTTGGCAGGAGATCCACGGAGAGACCCCGGCACTCCAGACTGCAGGGCACCTCCCGCCCCACCACACTGGTTGGGGGCTGCTTCCTCAGATGATCAACCAGACTAGGGAAGTTAAACGACTCGTCCAAGGTATAAAACGACCTGGAAGAATCTCAGCCAATGGTATGGGCCAGTCTTGAGAGCCTATATAAACAGAACATACGCCATGGGCATCTCAAAGTTTACTCCCTGAGGATGGGAAAAGCAGACCCCTCTGAGTGTGGACTGAGTGTTAAATGAGACAGAGATTCACAGAAAGCTCTTGGCACAGAAAGAGAAAGCACAGTGAAGGAAGGTCAGCTGTTACTAATGTCAAGGAGCAGAGAAGTTCTGCACCCTCATTCACACAAGATGCTGGCACTAAAGGATATCATGCATATAGGGGCAGTTCTCGGCTCTGGCGCAAAATCCAGTGATGTAAAACTTGCACAATTCTCGCTTCTTTGGGAGTTCGATGTCATGGCTAAAATTACAGTGGTCTCCCTAGAAGAGAAGCAATGAAAACGTAAGGTAATGGTGTGGGAAGCTCTTGCTTACTTCTCTCTGCAAAGGGAAGAAATACTCTGTTGCATGGAGGGGCCAATGACAGAAATGAATCCCCCTTAGGAAAGGATGACAGGTCTAGAAAGGGCAGATCCCAAAGACTGTTGCCCAACCTTTCTTATTTGGAGACAGGGTCATACTCTGTTGCCCAGGCTGGAATTCAGTGGCACAATCATGGCTCACTGCAGCCTCGACATGTGAGCTCAGGTGATTCTCTCACAGCCAGGACTACAGGCCCACACCACCAAGCTCAGCTAATTTTTTTGTATTTTTTTGTAGAGACAGGGTCTCACTATGTTGCCCAGGCTAGTCTCAAACTCCTGGGTTCAAGTGATCCTCCCACTTTGGCCTCCCAAAGTGCTGGGATATATAGCCATCAGCCACCAAGCCTGGGTACTTCCTGAATTTAAAGAAAAGCCAGCCAGGCGCAGTGGCTCACGCCTGTAATCCCAGCACTTTGGGAGGCAGAGGCGGGCGGATCACAAGGTCAGGAGATCGAGACCATCCTGGATAACACGGTGAGACCCTGTCTCTACTAAAAAAACAAAAAATTAGTCAGGCGTGGTGGTGGGCACCTGTAGTCCCAGCTACTCGGGAGGCTGAGGCAGGAGAATGGCGTGAACCCAGGAGGCGGAGCTTGCAGTGAGCCGAGATCGCGCCACTGCACTCCAGCCTGGGCGACAAGAGTGAGACTCCGTCTCTAAAAAACAAACAAACAAACAAACAAACAAAAAAAATTAGCTAGGGGTGGTGGTGGGCGCCTGTAGTCCCAGCTACTCAAGAGGCTGAGGCAGGAGAATGGCATGAACCCAAGAGGCAGAGCTTGCAGTGAGCCGAGATTGTGCCACTGCACTCCAGTCTGGGTGAGAGTGAAACTCCTTCCGTCTCAAAAAAAAAAAAACAGAAGTAAAGCCTTTTGTCCGTTTTCCGTTTTTTTTCCTCCCAGCCCTTGGATATGATGCCGGGAGGCACAGCAGGCATCGCCTCAGGCATTGTGTAACCATGAGGACAAAAGCCACGATTTTGTTTTTTGGTTTTTTTTGTGAGACGCAGTCTCGCTCTGTCGCCCATGCTGGAGTGCAGTGGCACGATCTTGGCTCACTGCAAGCTCCACCTCCCGGGTTCACGCCATTCTCCTGCCTCAGCCTCCCAAGTAGCTGGGACTATAGGCGCCCGCCACTATGCGTGGCTAATTTTTTGGATTTTTAGTAGAGACGGTGTTTCACCGTGTTAGCCTGGATGGTCTCAATCTCCGACCTCGTGACCTGCCTGCCTCGGCCTTCCGAAGTGCTGGGATTACAGGCGTGAGCCACCACGCCCGGCCAAAAAAGCCACATGTTTAAAGATGGCAGAATAGTAAGCAGGAATGAGCATAGGTCCCCCAGGGTGACCCCGACCACTGCACTGCCAGGTATTGCTTACCCAGCTCCAGACTCCTGGTTCTGAGAGACAAATGTCTATGTGTTGAAGCCAATGGAGTTTAGTTTTCCTTTATTTCCAGTTGAACACAATCTCAACAACACAGTATCTAGGTGAAATCCAGAATTGTGTTCTCCATTCCGCATCATTTAGTCCTCAGGAATCACTCACCATACTGAACTGAAGACAGAAGCTGATCTGTCCCCCTAACTCTTAGGAATGCCTATTTGTCTTTTATCTTTTTATTTTTTATTTTTATTTTTTGAGACAGAGTCTAGCTCTGTCACTCAGGCTGGAATGCAGGGGCACGATCTCGGCTCACTGCAACCTCCACCACCCGGGTTCAAGCGATTCTCCTGCCTCAGCCTCCCAAGTAGCTGGGAATAGCCTGTAATAGGCGCCCACCACAAAGCCCAGCTAATTTTTGTATTTTTAGTAGAGTAGGGGTTTCACTGTGTTGGCCAGGATGGTCTCAAATTCATGACCTCGTGATCCGCCTGCCTCGGTGTCCCGAAGTGTTGGGATTACAGGCGTGAGCCACCATGCCCGGCAAATTTTTGCATTTTCAGTAGAGATGGGGTTTCACCACGTTGGTCAGGCTGGTCTCGAACTGCTGACCTCAGGTGATCCACATGCCTTGGCCTCCCAAAGGGCAGGGATTACAGGTGTGAGTCACCACACCTGCCCATTTTTTTTTTTGATACAGGGTCTCACTCTGCCACCCAGGCTAGAGTGCAGCAGTGCAACCCCAGGTTATTGCAGCCTTGATCTCCCAGGCTCAAGTGATCCTCCCACCTCAGCCTCCTTAGAGGCTGGGACTATAGGCAGACGCCATCGCAATGGGTTTTTTTTTTTTTTTTTTTGCTTACGAGATGGGGTCTATGTTGCCCAGGGTGTATCATTTGTTTTTGCTTATATGTATTTCAAGTTTCTTAACAGAATATAAGCTGTAACTAAGAAATACTGGCAAGGCACAGTAGCTCACACTTGTAATCCCAGCACTTTGGGAGGCTATCAGAAGTTTGGGACCAGCCTGGCCAACATGGCGAAACCCCATCTCTACTAAAAACATGAAAATTAACCAGGTGTGGTGGCGTGCGCCTATAGTCCCAGCTACTCTGGAGGCTGAGGCATGAGAATCGCTTGATTCCAGGAGGCAGAGGTTGCAGTGAGCCAAGATTGTGCCACTGCACTCCAGCCTGATTGACAGTGAGACTTGGTCTCAAAGGAAAAACAAACTATTTTATACATAACATTATTTGTTTAAAGCACCTGTTTCTTCCCAAGACAGATGCAGGGGTGCAGTATGCCCTGAGCACACATCTGCTAGTGTCTGTTGCTGCCTGGGCTACTGGGGTAAGAAGTTGCCGGCTGAACTAACGCTGGGTTATTACACTTGTTTCCTTCGGTGGAAAGAACTCTGTGGTCATTGGTCCATCTTCTGACATTGAACTTTGCTATGAAGTCCATGGTTAACCTCATCCTCCCCTCCTCTTCTGTCTGGATGCTTTAATCATTCCCCATGCAACCCTGAAGCTCAGTAACTTCACCAGGATATGCTGCTTCTCTGCATTCACATCAACCTTTATAATTACATTTCAGGCTTATGGACCAGTTGGAAATTTTGGCCAAACAATTCCCCTAAAACCCAAAATCCTCATCTTGTTGTGGGTCCTCCTCACTCTGAAAGTCAACCTGAGTCTTTCAGGCCCCCCAGGCAGCTCTCAGTACCGGCAAGTGTCCACAAGGACAAAGACCACACAGTCACTCCCACCCAGCGTGACCACAGCTCCAGAACATTCTGGAAGCCGTGGGTCGTCTGGGGGCTGCTGGCCTCCTAGAGGTGCCCGGGAGTTTTCAGCACTCCTTACCCAGGTGCAACGCCCTTCCACGAAGTACTTGCAGATGACTTTGCCTTTCTTGTCCGACTGCTGGTGGGGCTTGTCATGGTCACGACTCCGGTAGCTTCCACCACCACCGTCCTACAATAGACAGGATGTGGATGTAAAGGGGGATGAGAGGGAAGGGTGGAGATGGGATTGGGGTTAATAAGCAGCACGGGAGAAGGGGATGAGGACTCCCTTAAGAGCTCACAAGAGCACCGATGGGCAGGCTGCATCTAACACTGAGGCTGCGTGCACATTTAAGCCCCATGGTGCAGGGTGCTGGTGCCTTGTGAGGAAAAGCTCTAGCCCTTAGAGTTGTTAGTCACTTACACCTGAAGTTCCACACACCTGTGGAGGAACACATCCACCACACCTAGAGGCAGTGGCATGGGCCTCCCTGCAAAACCTTCCAAGACTAACTGGATAGTTCACCTAGAACCTTCTGAACCTCAGAGACGTGTTAGGTATGGCTGCAGGTGCTGCTAATGACATGGTTTTAAACACAGGGTCTCAGCAGCAGTACATCTATCTCCTCATGATATCACTGGTTAAGCTGGTCAACGCTGGCCAGCCCTCTGGGGGGTGGCTGATGACAGCAAAGGGGACAGGATCAGCTTACAGAACGACTCATTAAAGGGAAAAAAGGCTAAGAAGGGATCTTGGCCCAAACATCAGATCAGAGTGGAGTCAACTCACGCCCATGTCCTCATCATAGAAGTCTTCGTCATCGTTCATCCCGCCCTTGTTCATCCCTCCTCGGCTGCCACCTCGGCCTCGGCCCCGGCCCATCCCTTTCCCTCGGCCTCGGGAGCCCCTGCCACGGCCTCGACTTAGCCCTGTGGAGGGGAGACGGTGTTAAAACCTGCCGACCACCCCCTCCCCACCCCTGGGACTAGATTCCAGCAGCTGCTGGAATCCCTGCCCCACCCAGCGTGTCCCCTCCAGGCCCTGCCTACCTCGGCCTCGGCCGTCCTTGGACCGGCGGTACTGGTTCAGCTCCTTGGAGTACTCATCATAGTCGTCGTCTCCCATTGGCTCCTCACTCTCTCCATACTGGAATCCGCAGAGGAGAGGGCAAGAGAACGTCAGGTAGGGAACAATGAACACTGTCCCCACCTACACACTGCCCCTTTCTGAAGGATGGTGACCATCCAGGGGACTCATACCATAACCCGTCTCCACAGAGCCTGATGACAGACAGGTGGTCCCAATCCTTCCCACTGCAGTCTTCACCCTGAAAACCCAACCCAATAGGCAAACCCAGCATGGCGCCTCCCTACATACACATCGCTGTGGGGCTCCAAAAGGGCAAGTGGGCAACGGGCCGTGGACTGGCATGGAAGGTCTGTGGGTAGGACCAGGATAGCAGGTGCAGTGCGCCTGCCACTCCTTCTCCCGGGTGGGGGCAGGGATGAAGGACCACGTGCCTGGCTGGAAATGTCTCTAGAGGACTTTCAGGAAACTTCTCTCTAGTGACAGGATGTTTTTCACAGCACATCCTGTGATACCTCTTCTTTTTTTTTTTTTGAGACAGAGTCTCGCTCTGTCGCCCAGGATGGAGTGCAGTGGTGCGATCTTGGCTCACTGCAACCCCGCCTCCCGGGTTTAAGTGATTCTCCTGCCTCAGCCTCCTGAATGAATAGCTGGAACTACAGGCACGTGCTAACACACCTGGCTAATTTTTTATATTTTTCAGCAGAGACAGGGTTTCACCGTGTTAGCCAGGAGAGTCTCCATCTCCTGACTTTGTGATCCATTTGCCTCAGCCTCCCAAAGTACTGGGATTACAGGCGTGAGCCACCACGCCTGGCTGATACCTTTTCTACTTTAAACCACATGAAGGTTTTATCTATTCCAAAATGATAAATGAACATTTTTAAACACATACATCTGCCCTCTGAGGCTTCCTTTCCTTCAGAAGGGTCATATGTCTTCCTACCTTAGCCTCACAGCCTCTATGAGCAGTGCTCACGCCCCCGAAAGCCCACCAGCCTCACCCCGACGTCCCCAGGGCCAGAGGAAACCTTACGTCCATCTCTTCCTCGTAGAAATCCTCTTCATCCTCCGGGTGGTCTCCTCCCATAGAGCCTCTGCCCCTGCCTCGGCTGCCCCTGCCCATGCCACGGCCTCGCGATCCTCCACGGCTTCCTCGGCCCCTGTAGCCCCGGCCCCGGCCTCGGCTGCCTGCATGGAGATTCAGACAGTGAGCCTTCAGCGGGAGCAGATGCCACCGGCAAGAAAGAAGACAACCCACTTTCTGCTCCTGAAGTCAATCACTTCAGCATCCTCCTCCTCCTCCAAGAAGCCTTCCTAGATGCCCCAGGTAGGCTAGTGGACCCTCTGGTTCTCTCAGTGGGGGTCCCTCAGCACACTGGACACACAGCTACTGCAGTACTCACTCCCCTTCCTCACAGGGACTTGTCCACTTAGAGCTGTACTGTCCAATATGGCAAACACCAGCCCACGGGCTAATGAGCAACTAACACGTCTGGTCCAAACTATAAGATGCTAGCCTTGAAGTCTGACAAGACTAGCTAGCCCTGTAGTTTGAACTTGTGATTTAGACAAGAGTCCAAAACACACTCTGGACTTCAAAGACTTAGCTAAAATAAAAAAAAGGCTGGGTGTGGTGGCTAATGCCTGTAATCCCAACACTTTGGGAGGCTGAGGTGGGCAGATCACCTGAGGTCAGGAGTTTGAGACCAGCCTGGCCAGCATGGTGAAACCTTGTTTCTACTAAAAATAGAAAAATTAGCCAGGTGTGGCGGCGCACACCTGTAGTCCCAGTTACTTGGGAGGCTGAGGTGGGAGAATTGCTTGAACCCAGGAGGCAAAGGCTGCAATGAGCTGAGACTGTGCCACTGCACTCCAGTTTGAGCAACAGAATGAGACCACGTCTCTCTCTCTCTCTCTCACACACACACACACACAAGTGAGAAAGAATATAAAATATTGCATTTGTCTAATTTGATTACATGTTGAAATAAGATTTTAAACATATTAGGTTGAAAATAGAATATCAAAATTAATTTAATTGGTTTCACTTTTTCCTTCACTTAAAAAAAAAAAAAAAAAGAAGAGTGGCCAGGTGCAGTGGCTCAATCCTATAATCTCAGCACTTTGGGAGGCCCAGTTGGGCAGATCACTTGAGAACAGGAGTTCAAGACAAGCTTGGCCAACACAGCAAAACCCCACCTCTACTAAAAATACAAAAACTTAAGTCCAGTCACAGTAGCTCACAACTGTAATCCCAGTACTTTGGGAGGCCAAGGCGGGCGCATTGCCTGAGCTCAGGAGTTCAAGACCAGATTGGGCAACATAGTGAAACCCCATCTCTACCAAAAATAAAAAAGCCAGCCATGGTGGTACGGGCCTGTAATCCCAGCTACTAGGGAGGCTGAGGCACGAGAATTGCTTGAACCTGGGAGGCGGAGGTTGCAGTGAGTCAACATGGTGCCACTGTACTCCAGCATAAGTGACAGAGTGAGACTCTGTCTCAAAAATAAATAGATAGGCCGGGCACGGTGGCTCATGCCTGTAATCCCAGCACTTTGTGAGGCTGAGGTGGGCGGATCACCAGGTCAGGAGATCAAGACCATTCTGGCTAACATGGTGAAACCCTGTCTCTACTAAAAATACAAAAAATTAGCTGGGCATGGTGGCAGGCGCCTGTAGTCCTAGCTACTTGGGAGGCTAAGGCAGGAGAATGGCATGAACCCGGGAGGCAGAGCTTGCGGTGAGTCGAGATCGTGCCACTGTACTCCAGCCTGGGCGACAGAGCAAGACTCCATCTCAAAAAAATAAATAAAATAAACTAAATAAATAAATAAGATGGGTGTGGTTGTACATGCCTGTAATCCCAGCTACTTGCAGGAGTGAGGCACAAGAAATGCTTGAACCTGGGAGGCAGAGGGTAGAGATTGCAGTAAGCCTAAATCGTGCCACTGCACTCCAGAATGGGTGACAGAGCAAGACTCTGTCTCCCAATAAACAAAAAAGAGTGATGGGGTCTCATTGTGTTGCCCAGGCTGGCCTCCAACTCCAGGGCTCAAGTGATTCTCCCGCCTCCACCTCTCAAGTAGCTGGGACTATCCAGTGTCCTTTTCACTTTTTAAATGTGGCTACCAGAAAATGTAAGTGATATGGTGGCTTCCAATCTAATTCTACTGGACAGCACCAGTCTAGGACCTCCGAAAAGCACAGGGGCTGCCCCAGGGAGGTGTCCAAGACAGACTGCTAGAAGAACGAATGAGCCGGGTGAGGTGGCTCATGCTCGTAATCCCAGCACTTTGGGAGGCCGAGGCGGGCGGATTACGAGGTCACGAGATTGAGAACAGCCTGACCAACCTGGTGAAACTCCGTCTCTACTAAAAATACAAAAATTAGCTGGGCGTAGTGGCATGCGCCTGTAATCCCAGCTACTCAGGAGGCTGAGGCAGGAGAACTGCTCGAACCCGGCAAGTGGAGGTTGCAGTGAGCCAAGATCGCGCCACTGCACTCCAGCCTGGTGACAGAGCGAGCCTCGTTCAAAAAAAAAAAAAAAAACAAAAAAAAAACAACTACTCAACAAGCTGGGCCTCAGGCAGGGCTCACAAGTCTGAGAACCCCTGTGCTGGAAGATTCCAGAAGCCACTCTCAGGCTGGGCAGTCTTTCTGGCAGGAGACAGTTCGATGGTTCTTTTTTGTTGCTGTTGTTGGACAGGCTGGTCTCGAACTCCTGACCATAGGTGATCCGCCTGCCTCGGCCTCCCAAATTGCTGGGATTACAGGCATGAGCCACTATGCCGGCAGAGATGGTTCTAAGGGGCCAGTCAGGGCTACTGTGTCTCTGGTGCTCAAGCTTCCTCCACCTTCCTCCCAAAGGACACAGGTGCAAGGTTCAGAGGTGGGGCAGAGGCAAGGACTGCAGTCACACCTTGTCAGGTGATGGGGCTGGGAGAATGAGGGCGCACTGCTGCGGGGTGGGGCAGCCAGCTGTCAGTGACCCTAGCCCAGGTGAGAGAGAAGCTATCCCCTTCTCCCCTGACAGCCGACCAGGAAGTGACCCTTCAGGTACGCTGGCCTTCTCCCTGCCTCACACCAGCCTGGCACCACCCCAACCACAGACCAGAGGGTGATCTCTCTGGTCCCCTGTGCCACGCACGTGCAGATCCCGGCCCTTCTTTGTACACTTATCCCAACCCTAAGTGACCAAACTTGAGGCTCTGTGAGGCCAGGCCACCCGGGTGGCTCCAATGCCCCAGAGGAGAAATTGCCAAGGCAGGGCTCACCTCGGCCACGGCTGCTGCCCTCCTTGGCACGCCGGTACTGGTTCAGCTCTTTGGTGAAGTCATCGTAGTCCTCCTTGCCCATGTCCTCCTCCTCGTCGCCCTCATATTCCCCATACTGCTCGTTCTCGTAGTCCTCGTACATGCCATAGCTCTTGCTGTCCATCTTGGAGTAAGCCTTCTTGGGCAGGGGCGTGGCATGCGATGGGGGGTACTGCTGGTGGGACTGCGTCCCAGAGATGGGGAGAAGAGGTGAGCTGGATCCCACAGCTGCGGGTGCAGACTACCAAGATCCCCAGTGTTCCCTAAATGAACATGTCTGTCTGGGTGCTGCTACTGTCCCAGGGTTGCACTGCTGGTCCCCAGACCCTCTGAGGACAGGTTCTCATACCAGGAAGTGGGGGTAGCAGAGGGCCCAAGTGTTTCTGTTCCTCATAAAGGACCAGAGCTAGAAAGAAAACAGAACCACAGACCCCCAATCCCTGATGAACGAAGGGGAGGAGAAGGGAGCATTTCCCAGGGATACAGAGCAAGCACACAGGGAGGGGCCTGGGAAGCAGGAGGGGGCTGCTCAGTCACAATTTTGCTAGGGCCCTGGAATTCAATAAATGGCCTGCTTGGCAGCCGGGCTAGAAAGCCGTCTCAAATGATGCGTTCCAAAGTGTGGTAGTGCCAAGTGGTACTAGAAGAAGTTAAAGATACTCATAAAAACAGAAGCAACCAAGACATCCTCCAACAGGTAAATGGAAAACAAACTGGTATATCCAGACAATGGAATAATAGTAAATATGTAACAATAAAGGGTGCATTGGGCAAAACCCAAAGAACTACACAACACTAAGTAATAACAATGAATCAATACTGGCTCATCAATTGTAACAAAGTTACCACAACAAAGCAAGACATTGGTAATGGGAAACTGGGGGCAGGGAAGGGGGCAGGTGGAGGGGAGAAGGGAACTCTACTACTACCTGCTCAATTTTCTATAAACCTAAAACAGCTCTAAAAAATAAAGTCGGGGGGCCGGGGGACCAGGGGCCCGGGCGCAGTGGCTCACGCCTGTAGTCTCAGCACTTTGGGAGGCCAAGGCGGGCAGATCACGAGGTCAGGAGATGGAGACCAGCCTGGCCAACATCGTGAAATGAGATCTCTACTAAAAATTCAAAAATGCAAAAATGCAAAAAAAAAAAAAAAAAAGCCAAGTGTGGGGCGGGCACCTGTAATCCCAGCTACTTGAGAGGCTGAGGCAGAATTGCCTGAACCCGGGAGAGGCAGAGGTTGCAGTGAGCCGAGATTGCACCACTGCGCTCCAGCCTGGGTGACACTGCAAAACAACATCTCAAAAAAAATAAAGGCCGAGCACGGTGGCTCACACCTGTAATCCCAGCACTTTGGGAGGCCTAGGCGGGCAGATCTCTTGAGTTCAGGAGTTCGAGACCAGCCTGGTCAACATGGTGAAACCCAGTCTCTACTAAAAATACAAAATGAATTAGCCGGGCATGGTGACGGGCACCTCTAATCCCAGCTATTCGGCAGACTGAGGTGTGAGAATCACTTGAACCCAGGAGGCAGAGGATGTGGTGAGCCAAGATCATGCCGCTGCACTCCAGCCTGGGCGACAGAGCGAGACTCCGTCTCAAAAAACAATTAAACAACAACAAGCATGGTGGCTCAGGCTTGTAATCCCAGCACTTTGGGAGGCCAAGGCAGGAAGATCACAAGGTTAGGAGTTCGAGACTACCCTGGGCAACATAGTGAAACCCGTCTCTACTAAAAATACAAAAAAAAAAAAAAAAAAAAATTAGCCAGGTGCGGTGGGGGGCGCCTGTAATCCCAGCAACTTGAGAGGCTCAGGCAGGAGAATCACTTGAACCTGGGAGGTAGAGGTTGCAGTAAGCCAAGATCGTGCCATTGTACTCCAGCCTGGGCGACAGAGCGAGACTCCATCTCTAAATAAATGAATGAATAAAAAAGTCGGCTGCGCATGGTGGCTCATGTCTCTAATCCCAGCACTTTGGGAGGCCGGGGTGGGCAGATCATTTGACCCCAGGAATTTGAGACACCCTGGGCAACATTTTGAAACCCCATCTCTACCAAAAGTACAAAAATTAGCTTTGGTGTGGCAGCCCATGGTTCCAGCTACTTAGGAGGCTGACGCAGGAAGATCACCTGAGCCCAGGCAGCTCGAGGCTGCAGTGAGGTGAGATCACACCACTGCCCTCCAGCCTGGGCAACAGAATGAGATCCCATCTCAATAAATAAATAAACAAACAAACAAAAAGCCTAATTTTTAAAAGTCCATATTACAGAAAAACAGGACAATGCAAAATACAGCTAGATACACAGACACACATACAAGTACTTGAGCAGATCTTTAAAATGCCTCCAGCTCTAGTTCATAAAAAGCATGCAATGTTCCATTTCCTGCCTCTCTCAGGTCTGAAGGCCGAACCTACACCAGAAGATCAATCTCAACTATGGTATTGGACAATGAATCACTTGTTGTGATGGATGATGCTGGGTCATGGGATACCTGGGACAGCTTTAAAGACCTACTAACTTTAAAACATTTCTCAACCGGCCGGGCGCAGTGGCTCATGCCTGTAATCCTAGCACTTTGGGAGGCTGAGGTGGGCGAATCACCTGAGGTCAGGAGTTCGAGGCCAGCCTGGCCAACATCGCAACACCCTGTCTCTACTAAAAATACAAAAATCAGTCGGGCATGGTGTCGCACGCCTGTAATCCCAGCTACTCGGGAGACTGAGACAGAAGAATCACTTGAACCTGGGAGGTGGAAGTTGAAATGAGCCGAGATTGCCCCACTGCACTCCAGCCTAGGCAACAGAGCAAGACTCTGTCTCAATAAATAATAAGGTCTGGGCCGGGCACAGTGGCTCAAGCCTGTAATCCCATCACTTTGGGAGGCCGAGACGGGCGGATCACGAGGTCAGGAGATCGAGACCATCCTGGCTAACACAGTGAAACCCCATCTCTACCAAAAAAAATACAAAAAACTAGCCGGGCGAGGTGGCGGGCGTCTGTAGTCCCAGCTACTTGGGAGGCTGAGGCAGGAGAATGGCGTAAACCCGGGAGGCGGAGCTTGCAGCGAGCTGAGATCCGGCCACTGCACTCCAGCCTGGGCAACAGGGCGAGACTCCGTCTCAAAAAAATAAAAATAAAATAATAAGGTCTGAAGATCGAGACCATCCTGCCTAATGCGGTGAAACCCTGTCTCTACTAAAAATACAAAAAATTATCCGGGTGTGGTGACAGGTGCCTGTGGTCCCAGCTACTCAGAATGCTGAGGCAGAAGAATGGCGTGAACCCAGGAGGCGGAGTTTGCAGTGAGATGAGATTGCGCCACTGCACTCCAGCCTGGGCGACAGAGCGAGACTCCGCCTCAAAAAAAAAAAAAAAAAAAAGATGATTTGCTTTTCTCTTATGGAATTTTCTGGGGGAAGAAATGGTATACAAAATGAACAAATAATTTAAATTGCTGCTTGAAATGAAAGCGACAGTGGCCGAGTACTGCCTGCCTACGGGCCACTTGAGAACATTTCATTCTCTTGCCAATTTCCCAAAAAGGTCATTTGTGAAGAGTGGAAGCCAGTCAGCCATGACATGGACCAGTCAGCATCTTTCTCTGAGACATACAGGGCCTTGCTAAGGCCGCACGGAGGAAGCTCGAGAGCATACCTCACGGAGGTCAGCTAGGGCCTGGGTTCAAACCCAGCTCCTCTACTTCAGAACTGGGCAACTTTGTTGAAACTTTCTTTTCCTTTTGAGACAGGGTCTTGCTCTGTCACCCAGGCTAGAGTGCAGTGGCTGATCACAGCTCACTGCAACCTTGAACTTTTGGGCTCAAGGGATCTTCTCACCACCTCTGCCTCCTGAGTAGCTGCAACTACAGGCATGCCTGGTTAATTTTTTTATTTTTTGTGGAGATGGGGTCTCACTTTGTTATCTAGGCTGCCCTGTTGAAATTGTCTAAGTCTCAGTATCCTAAGTCATAAAATGGGGATTAAACTAATACCTGATGACCCAGGACTGAAACCCACATAAAATGCCCAGAACACAGCAAGTGCTCAAGAAACACAAGCAGCTGAACTCCTCCCGGCCCCAGAGCTCAGCAGGGCACGCCAGTCACTCACCGGCGCATATGGGGGGCTGTACTCTCTGTACTTGCGGTGCCCTTTCTCACTGGGGCTGAAATCCGAGTCATCTGAGAAGTCAGAGAAGTCATCGCTAGAAGAAGCGTGGCGCTGTAATGACAGGGGAAGAAGACTCAGCAACCCTGCTGCAGGCGGGCCACTCAGGCGCAGTCAGCCTCAGGACAAGCTATGCCGGCATGTGCCGGAAACACCTCACCTGGGGCACTTAGTGGCAACGGAGCATAAGCTACCGACTCTTAAAAAAGGTCTTTATCCAATTTGAGATAAGCAAAGGCATTAAGAGTGCCCTCTGGGGCGGACAGCAAAAGCTCAGCCCCTGGGGCTCTCAGCCAGGCCCGATGCCAGGCAGTGGCAGTCCCAGTGAATCCTGGACCTACTTTGTGCTTGGATTTCCTCCTCTTCTTCGACCTCCTTTTCTCTTTCTCCCGCTCTTTCTTCCGTTTCCGCTTCAGTCTCCTGTGGGACTTCTCCTCATCCGAATCACCGTGATGCTTCTCCCCCTTTTCTTTCCGGCTTCTCTCAGGCCCTCCGGAGGTATCCTGGGTCTCCTCTGCCCCATCATCTTCCAATTCGCCTTCTTCCAACTCTCCATCTTCCCTACAAATGAACCCCAAAGCCACCATGAACACAGGGTTTGAGAGGAGGCCTCCTAGGGCTCTGGGCTGGCCAAGGCTGACAAGAACCAAGGGCCTGACTGCTGTGAGCAAGGTGAGACCCTGGGAGGACACGGGGGCCATGGCCTCTTGTTCCATCCCTTATCGTCCCCCTGAAAGAACTGTGCTTGCTCCAGTCTAACCTGGCTGGGGGAGGGGTAGGAGTTTAAGGGCATTACCACTAACACCGGGATACATCTATGTCAGATTTCCCAACAGGACTAGTGTCCTTAGAAGAAGAAACCGACAAGATGCTATGGTCACATACGTGGGAAGAGCCCCATCTTGGGGATTCACAATGCTTAACACTGCAGAACTTCCAGGAAGCCCCACAATCTAGAAACCCATACAGCTCTGCTGTGAAGCACTTAGGGCACTTCTAAACCTCGCTCGACCACAGAAGTGCCTCTCCTAGAAAGCACAGACCTGCATCCCCTCCCTCCCAGGCCCAGGATCGCCTGCTGGGCCCCGGGCCCCAGGGAGCTGGGCATCAGTGCCACCTGAGGCTGAGGGTGGTGGCTGTACACCATGGAGAGGGCCTTGGTTCTGAACCAGGGGTGGCCCCAAGCTACCTGGGACCCACTCACAAGCAGGCCTGGGCTGTGGCCTGAGAACCCTTCAAAGTACTTTATTACAAAAGCCCCATGAGAACTGTTGGAAACAGGCTCAGAGTCCCAGGTCACCAGGTCTGACCCACCCTCGTCAGTCCCACATCTCTGGGCTTGAGGCAAGCAAACACTGAGCAGCTGGAGGAGGGGGACGGATCCCAGGCCCCTCCTGAGGACCTCACATGATACCGCCCCTGCTTTCTCTCCCTCCTCTGACTCACCTGCAGGTACTGGGAACCCCTTCTGGCTCCCCATCCTATACTCTTCCAATTCCCCCATGTCATCCCAATCCCCAGGACTTTAAAAGTGCTCTCCAAACATGACACTGCCCAGTGGACATTCTGTATATGTAAATATCTACGGGGTGGGGTAGGAGTGAGGGAAGAAATTGGGTTCAGGAGGGGGAAGCTGGAAAAAGAATCCAGTTTTTGAGCCAAACCCACAGACACAGTGTTCACAAGTACAGGGGTTGGTAAAGGAAAAAAACAATTTTTTTGAATAATTTTAAACGCTCCCAAAGTTCCCCACGAATGACCACAAAAAGGCTTGTGTGAGAGCCTCCAACTCCTTCCATCTCAATTAACTAGGACACAAAGAGAAGGGATGTAAGGAGGAAACGTCATGAGCCCAGGCCCCAAAAGGTTAGCCACAAATGGAGCTACCTCCGCGGAAAGGCCTGCAGTTGCCCAGGCGGGAGCCAGTGCATTAGGCGTGCTTGCCTGAAGTTTCCAGCACATGCAGCAGACTCCTCCCAGGACCCTCCACTGTCCTTTCACTTGTGTCCCTCCCTTTGTCTGCCTCAGGACTGCTACCTAAACATCAAGGAGCTCCTCAAGAAGGGCTTTTTCTATGAACCCTCATTCCCAGTTCAAAGGGGATGGGTTCTATTTCAAACCCAAGTGGCCCAGCCCCACAGATACTCCTGGGCAGAGGTCAAGCGCAGTTCTTGAAACAGAATGCAGGACACAAAACTCTTTCTGCTGCTTCAAAGGCAACAACGCAGGTGACGTCACCCACGTGTTGCTTCCCTGACTAGTAAACTTGGGAGGGGGCGGGGCAGGGGCGCAGGCTGCAGTCCTGACAAGGGAGGCGCCTTCCCGCTGGGGTGCGGCCCACAGAAACCAGGCGTGGAGCAAAGCCCTCACTGGACGCCTCACCCACACTGAAAGGGCCACATGACTGGGAAAACTAGTTTTGTCCCAAGGGAGAAGCTCTTACTCAGTGACATGGCAAACTTCCCACCGCCGGGAGCTGTGCAGACACTGTGAAGTGGCACCCTGATGGGAATATAGGGGGCGGGCCAGGGCCACACCTCAAGAGAAACTCAGGGAGAGAGAGAGACTGAGTGCGAGAAGGCCTGGGACAGACTGGAGGTGTACATGCTGGGGTTTCACCAAGAAAAGCTAAGAACAACGTTACTCTCGACACTTAAGTCTGGAAGGCATAAAGTTGAGAGGCACATGATCACCATCCAGGTCACTAATTTTTTTTTTTTTTCTTTTTGACAGTCTCGCTCTGTCGCCCAGGTTGGAGTGCAGTGGCCGGATCTCGGCTCACTGCAAGCTCTGCCTCCCAGGTTCACGCCATTCTCCTGCCTCAGCCTCCTGAGTAGCTGGGACTACAGGCGCCCGCCACCTCGCCCGGCTAGTGTTTTTTTTGTTTGTTTGTTTGTTTTTTGTAGAGACGGGGTTTCACCGGGTTAGTCAGGATGGTCTCGATCTCTTGACCTCGTGATCCGCCCGTCTCGGCCTCCCAAAGTGCTGGGATTACAGGCTTGAGCCACTGCGCCTGGCCAGGTCACTAATATTTTAAATGCCAAATCTGTGCCAGGTTGCTTGACTCCCTCCTTTTCTGCACTGTCCTTGTAGGAAAAAAGATACAAATGACAACACACTTGGTCCACAAGGCAGGTGCATGATCATCATCAGGGCAGGGCCAGCTCAGCCAGAGTGGGTGGCAGCCTCAGCATGCCCTCCCTTATGTCCAACACTGCCACACAGCAGGCGACAGTCTTGCCCATGGTCAGCTGAGGCCTCCTTCCCTGTCTCGATGCCACCCGCTGGCTCGGACGAAGGTACAGGCTACTCTACATCTAACACCTGAGGGCAGAGGACAAAAGACCATCCAAGGAACTCCAAGAGCCTTAACCATTGTCCAGAATGATTCTAGAAAGGAATCACCAAGGTAGAGAAGCACAGCATTCAAATCCACCCTGCAAAGACCTGAGCCAAAGAGGGATTCTGTACACTATCGATATCAACAACTCCAGGCACACCTGGACTCAAAGGGAACCAACCATACAACTTTTCACAAAACAGGCAGTGGCTACTTGAAACTTTGTTTCCCTAGAGTTGAGAGAGGCAGAGAAATACACAGGATTTTTTGTTAAATTGTTGCTGGTTGATGAAGGGGCACTGAGACAGCGACAATAAACAGATCGCTGCATTATCAGGGCCATCCTGCCATGTCATGCCCTCAAAGTCCCTCCGAGCCCTGGGCTAACCTCTGCCCACAGTCACCTCAGGGGGTCCCCCTCCCGACACCCGAGATGCCCTCTCAGCTAAATGTCCTGCGTGAATATGAGGTCTTAACTATATTTTTCAGACTCTGTTCAACAGAAAGCAAAAGGAAAGGAAGTCAAGCCAACTGGGAATCCTGTGTGCCACCGGCGCGACAGCACAAAGGCGGTCTCCACAAAACAGCAACCAGGTTTCAGCGATGCCACTTAACAGACTGCCGGCAAAATCCGTGTCAGAGTGGGATTAAATACCGAGGGAACATGCTTAATAGACCTCGACATAATCCCCCAAGAAAAGTGGGGGAAGCCCCACCGCGCTAATCATTTCAATCTAGACCTGCCAAACTCTCTTGAGACAAGCAAGCAGAAGAAAAGCCTGCCGCGGCAGCCTGTGCAGGGAGCACTCTATTCCCAGAGCCTGTATTGGCAACGCCTGACATGGCTGCACTCAGTCCGCTGCTAGAGCTCTCGGGGACAGGAAAGCAACCACCCTGGGAGACCGACTTGGAACTGGCCCCCATGAGGAAATGGGAAGAGGCCAACGCCTTGCCCTGAGCCAGTCCTGCCCCATACCTCCTGGACAAAGCTCCCGGGCATTTCAGTTTCCATTTTCAGAGCTGGCTGCTCCTCTCCCTGGGCCAAAGAACAGATCTGGATGCCCACTCTAAGGAACAGGCCGACTCCACAGGGTCCACAAGCATGCTGGGTTCAGTACACACCATGGACTTGGCAAAAACCGTGCTTGGTAAAGATACTTCATGTCCAGACCAGGTGTGGTGGCTCATGCCTGTAATCCTAGCACTTCGGGAGGCCAAAGCAGGCGGATCACTTGAGGTCAGGAGTTCGAGACCAGCCTGGCCAACACAGCAAAACCCTGTCTCTACCAGTAATACAAAAATTAGCTGGGTGTGATGGTGGACGCCTGTAATCCCATCTACTCGGGAGGCTGAGGCACAAAAACTTGAACATGGGAGGCAGAGACAGCAGTAAGCCCAGATCGTGCCACTGCACTCCAACTTGGGAGACAGAGTGAAACTGTGTCTTAAAAAAAAAAAAAAAAAAAAAACTGTAATCCCAGCACTTTGGGAGGCCAAGGCAGGCGGATCACCTGAGGTCAGGAGTTCGAGACTAGCCTTGCCAACATTGTGAAACTCCAGCTCTACTAAGAATGCCACCAGCGAGGTGGCGGATGCCTGTAGTTCCAGCTACTCAGGAGGCTGAGGCAGGAGAATTGCTTGAACCTGGGAGGCGGAGGTTGCAGTGAGCCAAGATCATGCCACTGCACTCCAGCCTAGGTGACAGAGCTAGAGACTCGGTTTCAAAAAACAAAACAAAAGATATTTCATGTCCAAAGTAGACATGATATTTTAAAGGAGATATTTCATACTGCCTTATCCAGTAGCCTACAGATTTGGGCCTCATGCTCCTTTCTGCAGACCAAGTAACTCAACCAGCTCCACCTCTTCTCTAGAGTATGCTCTTAGTCCATAACCTGAGCCTTGCTTTTCTGATCTACTGAATGGGATAACAGCAGCACCTATCTCAAGGGTTGTGAAGGTTAAATGAGATAATAGGCATAAAGCAATTGACATAAGGGACAGGCACAAAGGAAGGAGCAGCTGTTGGTTGTAAGAACCAGGCAGCACGAGGGCGCCTCTCCACGGAAAGCTCTAACTGGCTGGAATGCTGACTGCGAAGCATGTTCTCTATAAGAAAGCTACAACCAGGGCCGGGCACGGTGGTTCACGCCTGTAATCCCAGCACTTTGGGAGGCCGTGGTGGACGGATCACCTGAGGTTGGGAGTTCGAGACCAGCCT